TTTTAATCTCATATTAAATAACTTTTTTCGCCATAAAAACCACAAACATATTGAGAGACAAACGATTGAAAGTCCGCAACAAATATATGTAAACATATTTTTGCCAAAACTATTGTCTTCTCGACCGGAAGTGTCCATAAGAGCCGCAAAATTAGTCAAATGATTGCATTCACAGACAGTTATCTCACGATTGGATTCACTGTCCATTACATGACATCCATCTGACGACCACTTGCTTTGTATGAAATCCCAGAAAACACACTCAACTCTATCGCCCAAATGCAACCTATTCTTGTTTTTTAGACTATTTATGAAATAAACAATTTGTACAAAAAAGTGTTTAATATATATCGGATGTCGAATCGTATCAGTACTAATTAAATCAAAATAAATTGCTATAATTTCCATTAAATACCTAATTTTAACATTAGATCCGTCACTGAATTCATGACTTTTATTAGTATTTCTAATATTAAACGCAATGATATGGCTATTGATTTGTGTCTTAATCATACCATAAGTTAAATATTGTCCCAATTTATCGATATATGTTCCCAAAGAAGTCTTATTAACACACGAATACATATCACCACCACTTCCCTCATAATGATTACACTTTGGTATTAGTATTGATGACGAATTGTATGTAAAAGTAATTTCTTCCGTCAAATAAAAGTAATAATGTTTTTCAGCTATATTTTTGCTCTCAATTATGACTGTATTTTGCTGTGGATTTAAATAGCAATTTGCAGCGAAAGCAATGGTCTGTATATTATATAACAGTTTTGAGGCCAACTCTACAGTCTCTGCACTCTTCACATCCGTCCATACGTTTTGATCGATTACTTGACTCATAAGTGTCACCATATGTTGCGATATATTCATAGCCACTGTTGGCTCAATTGGTTCACCATTTGTTTGCAAATAAGTACTCATTTTGTCAATCATTATAATCACATCTTTTAAGTCTTCAATGGATTTCAATCCCTTATTATCCAGCGTTTGATTCGTTAATCCGTCCGTATTTTCTATAACGTCGTGGATGTCATTGATGTCTATTTCATCGCAATATAAGAAAGTGTCAAAAATACTCTTAATGTTAATTTAAGGACATACACTCCTCGTACTAACTATCTACCGTGGGGGAAATGGATAATCTCTTGAACCGATAATCCAATCCCTAATCTCTCTTCAGGGATTTATAGCCCCAACATACCGGTTTTTAAAAATATACTATATTGTATTTTCTATGAGAAATGGAAAAATGGGAACTATTTTTGCAAAGTTAAATTACGCAGTTATCATGGTTAATTTATACGGCATATAGTATATTTTTAAAAACCGGTATGTTGGGGCTATAAATCCCTGAAGAGAGATTAGGGATTGGATTATCGGTTCAAGAGATTATCCATTTCCCCCACGGTAGATAGTTAGTACGAGGAGTGTATAATATAGCAATTAGAATATATATTTATATGTATATATATAAATACTATACCAGTATCTGCGGGAATATAAGTCCAATCGTAATCCCAAATTGATGTTGAACTTTGGGCACAATCTGCAAATACCCGGTGTCTAAATATACTACTATTATTCAAAAGCCAATCAAATGTGTCCTTATTGGCTGCACCACATGCTATGGGATTATTAAGCATTCTGAGTGTACTCTTACTATTCATATTTAAAATCTTCCCAAAATGTTCTTCTCGTATGTAATTGAAGTGATTATCCCCTATAATATTAAGTCATAAATAAACTGTAATTATAAGTGAAAACAATACAATACTTTACCCAAAAATATGTGATATTCTCTCTTATTATTATCGGATATCCCGAACGCATCCCTATCTAGACTCTGTTCATTCAATTGTGTGCTCCATAAATAAATGTTCACTGGATTGCATACAATACAATCTGCTAGGTCAAATGCCAATTTTCCAATTCTCATAATTCTTTGTACTTTAAACTCGATCAATTTAATATTTTTATCAGTCCTTAGATTTTCAATCAACGACACAATAAAATTTCCTTCAAATATTAATTCTTCAAGTTGATATGCGGCACCATTAAATATATGACCGGGTATCGTATGATGAATCGTATTATCAAGACTGATTCTTAAATACCGCAGACTACCCTTTCTTATATTATTGAGTGCATCTTTTACATTATCAATGGTTAACCGAGTTGTCCGATCCGCTAATAAATGAAGGATATCAATTCCCGCATCATTGAACGCATATTTGGACACCTCTTTCAGATTGAAAAAATTCGACATTTTGAAAAATCGGTAACTCCTCAGCGGTTTCCCGAAAAATTTTTTGACTTCAAATTCGTTTTCAGCGTTAAATTCTACATCGAAATCATGAATAATATTTTGGGGGCCAATAGTATAGTCCCACCAGTAAATGTCTCGGAAAAGCATAGTTACATTTAATTGACGTGATTATTTTATAAAAAACATTTACCCATGTTCAATTATATGTCCAGAATTTGTGACCGATGTTTGGAAGCCCCAAACAGTGACCACTAATACAATTGTGATGCTTTATAAACTATTTTAATTAATATAATTTATAATTATATTTGATAAAATTTGCAAAATTTTAACCCGAACAATCAAAAAATGGCCATGATTATTCCCGAACTCATTAAATATTGGCAAGACTTTAATTACCAAATTTGATATAATATAACCAAAATAAATCGGAAAATATCCGCAAATGTTTCCCCAAAGATATGTAATTAACAGAATTTTAAAAACTTTAAAAGTTTATTTAAACCGTAAATTGACCAGATTTAACTTACATGTTTATTTACCAAGTCCTCCATAGATATAACATTAACGGTTCTCTGAAATGAACATGTTAGTTAAAAATTGGTCAATATACATTTTAAATAAATTTTTTATGCAAAGTTTGTTAATTTCAATTGAAAGGGTGTAAATGATTTTTATACTTTAATCAAATAAAGCACTCAATTGTTAATTTTAATAATATAAGAATATAAAATTAGATTATTATCAATAGAAATATAATAATATATAAAATTTTAATAAATAGATGTGATTTTAATAATAATTAATAATTTAATTATTTTATTTTAAATATTAATCAGATTATCTGATATGGTATGAACCCAATAGTCCGAGTAAGGTAGCAAACCTTTCACCTAAATGTGGCTATTAAATTATTTCTATAAATTAGTAAAGCGGATATGATCAATTGTAAATTATATTGCATATAATAAACATAAAATTAATTACAATTTTATAACAATTTGCAATAAAAAATATGTTCATTATCTTAGACTAATACTATAAGTTATACATGACTGGAATTAATTCAAATTAAGGATTGTAAGCTACATTCAAAAATAATGTGGCCATAGAGATTACATTAAACTAACTCACTTTAATCAAATTTATACGCTTAAGTTGAATAAATGCTAGTAATATATATATATTTCTAGTAAGAAAATTTTTATTACTACTCTAATAAATAAATACTGTATTTAAACACAATTACAACTTGAGATAAGGTTTATTAAATAGATTGCACACAGAAATAAATGAATACTTTTACTAGGAAGCGATTATTTCAAGTTGATAATATAAAGTAAATATTACTTGAGCATAAACTTAAAGTAAGATGTAGTCAACAAATGTAATTTTTATTATACATGAAATGCTTTAATAAAATTCTATGATCTAAAATTAATTCGTAAACACATAATTGCTTTCATAAATGTATAGTTTTAATACGTTAAATGATATTAGATAATAATAAGAGCATATTCAGACTATAATATTGCACTTTAATTATACTAACGCACAATATCAGAGTATATAAACTAAATGCAAAACAGTGAATAGTTTATTGTAATAAACTTAATAAACATCTTTAACAAATTTCTTTAAAAAATTATTTAATATTTTTGTTCTAATACGAATTCTAATTTATCATGATTCAAATGTGTACGATATTAAAACGTATTTTTATAATAATAATTATATTTGCAATATGTAATATAGCAACAGTTAAATGTCTCAATTTAACAAATAATAATGAAACTATTAATGTAAGAGCAACGGGTGTTTGTGATTATATAAATGACCAATTTGTAAAATGCAACACTGAAGTAGAAATGGATATCAATTATGAGTTGAAACAAGTATTGGATTTATACCCAGATTATAATCCATATATTGATACAATTGAGTGGTCGGGTCCTATAGTTAACGGTCGAATCAACGATAATTTAATTCCAAAACAATTAACAGTTTATACTCTTAAACTGGATGTGAATAATCTGAAAGAGGTGTCCAAATATGCGTTCAATGATGCGGGAATTGATATCCTTCATTTATTAGCGGATCGGACAACTCGGTTAACCATTGATAATGTAAAAGATGCACTCAATAATATAAGAAAGGGTCGCCTGCGGTATTTAAGAATCAGTCTTGATAATACGATTCATCATACCATACCAGGTCATATATTTAATGATGACGCATATAAACTAGAAGAATTAAGATTTGAAGGAAATTTTATCGTATCGTTGATTGAAAATCTAATGACTGATAAAACTATTAGATTGATCGAGTTCAATGTACAAAGAATTATGAGAATTGGCAAATCTGCATTTGACCTATCAGATTGTATTGTATGTAATGCAGTGACAATTGATTTATCGAGCACACAATTGAATGAACAGAGTCTAGATAGGGATGCGTTCGGGATATCCGACAATAATAAGAGAGAATATCACATATTGTTGGGTAAAGTATTGTATTGTTTTCACTTATAATTATAGTTTATTTATGACTTAATATTATAGGGGATAATCACTTCAATTACATACGAGAAGAACATTTTGGGAAGATTTTAAATATGAATAGTAAGAGTACACTTAGAATGTTTAATAATCCCATAGCATGTGGTGCAGCCAATAAGGACACATTTGATTGGCTTTTGAATAAAAGTACTATATTTAGACACCGGGTATTTGCAGATTGTGCCCAAAGTTTAACATCAATTTGGGATTTTGATTGGACTTCAGGTATAGTATATGTATAATTAAATTCTAATTGCTATATTATGTCCCTATATTAACATTACGAGTATTTATTACACTTTCTGTCATTATCGTGAAATAGACATCAATGACATTCACGACGTTATAGAAAATACGGACGGATTGACTAATCAAACGCTGGATAATATGGGATTGAAATCCATTGAAGACTTAAAAGATGTGATTATAATGATTGACAAAATGAGTACTTATTTGCAAACAAATAGTGAACCAATTGAGCCAACAGTGGCTATGAATATATCGCAACATATGGTGACACTTATGAGTCAAGTAATCGATCAAAACGTATGGACGGATGTGAAGAGTGCAGAGACTGTAGAGTTGGCCTCAAAACTGTTATATAATATACAGACCATTGCTTTCGCTGCAAATTGCTATTTAAATCCACAGCAAAATACAGTCATAATTGAGAGCAAAAATATAGCTGAAAAACATTATTACTTTTATTTGACGGAAGAAATTACTTTTACATACAATTCGTCATCAATACTAATACCAAAGTGTAATCATTATGAGGGAAGTGGTGGTGATATGCATTTGTGTGTTAATAAGACGTCTTTGGGAACATATATCGATAAATTGGGACAATATTTAACTTATGGTATGATTAAGACACAAATCAATAGCCATATCATTGCGTTTAACATTAGAAATACTAATGAAAGTCATGAATTCAGTGACGGATCTAATGTGAAAATTAGGTATTTAATGGAAATTATAGCATTTTATTTTCATTTGAATTAGTACTGATTCGATTGGACACCCGATAGTTATAAATACTTTTTGTAAAAATTGTTTATTTCATAAATAGTCTAAAACACAAGAATCGGTTGCATTTGGGCGATAGAGTTGAGTGTGTTTTCTGGGATTTCATACAAAGCAAGTGGTCGTCAGATGGATGTCATGTAATGGACAGTGAATCCAATCGTGAGATAACTGTCTGTGAATGCAATCATTTGACTAATTTTGCGGCTCTTATGGACACTTCCGGTCGAGAAGACAATAGTTTTGGCAAAAATATGTTTACATATATTTGTTGCGGACTTTCAATCGTTTGTCTCTCAATATGTTTGTGGTTTTTATGGCGAAAAAAGTTATTTAATATGAGATTAAAAAGTAGGGGGAAAAATGGACACACGTTAGCATTTCTGGTTAAACAAGACTTTCTTGTTATGAATTTATGTATTTGTCTATTAACTACAAATCTATTGACTATTATAGGAATGGATAGAACCGAAAGTCGGGTAAATATACATTTAAATTTGAATATTATTTATAATTACAGTAAATACTATCACATAAACAATTAAACCCTATTATTATGTCGATGCATGTATAGGAAGTTTGTCAAATAATGTCAATACTATTATTGTATTCAATATTATCGGCATTTGTTGGATGTTTTTGCACGGATTCCAGTTCTACCGATTGGCTCAGAATTCTTTGAACACTGAATATAATAAGAAATTATATCTTAAACTTGGATACGGACTACCGGTGCTTATTATTACTTTGTTTTTGGGACACATTACGCTTCGGGAAAATGGTCTTATATTGTTAGACAAACACCTTATTGGCAATCATTTGTAAGTCTATTGTACAATTTGTAATTACGGTATAAACATTGAATTATTTTTTAATAAGTTGCTGGATATCATCCCCGAAACATCCCTATAACATTTACGTACTAATTGGTATATCTATATAATATATGTGCCTTTTTAATATAACTTAAACAGTAAATGCTTTTATGAGTAACTTATACTATAAAATTAAGCTTTATTAGTCTAAATGTGTCTCAATCAATCAACACGTTTTATAAATTTTAATCTCATTATGAATATTAATAATTGTCACTGTTTTATATTGAAAAGGTCACAAATACTAGTATTTATATTAAATACTTAAATCATTTTCATCCAGGTCCGGCAATGTTATCGATTGCATTAAATGTATCATTCATTGCATACCTATTATGGAAATCTGACCACAAATTGAGCTTTGGATACATTCTATCATTTCTATGGATTTTGTTCAATTGTGGCATTTCGTGGCTTTTATTTGTCTTTTATATCCATCGCTGGGGTGTCTTTCCGCTCGTGTTTTCATATTTATTTATTTTCTTCAATGGATTACAGGTTTAAACTTAATGTTAAAATACACTAATTATTAAATTATTTTGCTTTATTTTATACATGAATTACATCGTTTAAAGGGTGTATTTCTAGTGATATATCAATTGAATATACGTGTGGAACGGTATGGCACCCGAGTCAATTAAGCCTGCGCAAGTTAATCAATACATCATTTATCCAGTACCTTAACTTAACTTTTCTATTTAGTATTTTAATCTAGATTTTAATTCACAGTTATATAGGTATCCAATGTGGTTAAAATTATATAATAATTTAATGATTATTATAATTATAATATAAATATTAATTCAATTTATCTTAACTTTTCTATTTAGTATTTTAATCTAGAATTTAATTCACAGTTATATACGTATCCAATGTGGTTAAAATTATATAATAATTTAATGATTATTATAATTATATTATAAATATTAATTCAATTTAAAAACACTTTTACAAAACCAATTAGAATGTTAGGCTAATACAATATAAATACGCCATGAATCTACCCAGGATTGTTTAATAATAAATATATAAATATTTGCACTCAATATTATAAACATAATAAAATAATACTAATAATAGTCATAAATTCAGTTACAGATAATGTGAGATCTAATATTAGGTTTTTAATAAGGATGCCAGGTGAAATATTTCATAAATTTAACTTTAAATACTTCAGTTTCACTGAAATATTCACCTGAAAATAAATTTCAATAAATACCCCAAAATGATACATTCAGCGGGAAAGTCAAATAAATATGAAAAGCGATTGTATCGAAATAGCATTATACAATAGTATCCGTAAGTCTTTGTATTTGTTATCACATCTAATGGTAAGCATTGAGTTTTGATGGCGTCTTAGGCGCTGGTGTTGTCGTCATATTTAGGAGCAAAACAATTACGTCAAGCCTTCGGCCAATGGGTATAAACACAATGTACGAGATTGTACTAGATCAACTACCTTTGCACACACCAGGTATAGGAATCCCAAAACACACACTACTCTCACCAATCAAATTGAGTTTAAATGTGTAAAACGTGTCCAAACTATTGGTGAGATTAGTGTGTGTTTCGGATATCCTATGCCTGGCGTCACAACTAATCGCACAATACATGAGCGGACGGACTATAATCACCACACGGTTGGGTCGACTACACGACGAGCCCCTACCGGCCCTCACCATACGCTACCGGTCCGTTGAGCGCCAAACTCTGGTACATAAAGGGGTGTCACCAAAACGCCAGTCCCTTTGTATGAGCAGGGGCCTCGTATTATGAAAACACCTAGGCCAAAAGTAGTACTACAATTTTACCAACAATTTTTCACAGCAATACTTAACTTATGTTTAAATAATGTTTTAATATAATAACATATTATACCATAATCAGACCTTGTATAATTAATGCGTCAAAAATTATTAAAAAAACTGTCGTATCAAATGAACAAGGTCTGGGCGGGTATAGTATGATAAAAGCTTTCCTAATGCTATTTACATGTTAACCTAACCTAATCTAATATAATGTCTAACCTAGCTCATATTCACAATGTTAAACTATGACAGATCTTATTTAAAAATATTTTATTAAAATAAACTAAAATTATAATAATAATCCAAATAAAATAATATAAATAAAATTATTAATTCAAAACTGCATTTATTTCAATAGCTTTATTATGGTATGCATTGAAAAACAATCGATATTTGAATAATAATTATGTATTTGTTATGAAAGACTTGAAAATACTTTTGTCACATACAATAATTTAATTATTAATTACTATTGATTTGTTTGAAGTTTATTAATATATTCGGTTTTAATAAAAATCTTATCAAGTAATCAATAAAATAATTCGAGTAGATGTGAGTATATATTAAGTTTATTAGTTGTAAATATTAATCCAGGTGCTTTCATTTCTGTGAATGTTAATTGCAATAATGTTTACAAAAATCAACAAAAACAATTAGAATAACTTTTTTGTACTAATTATTAAATTTACTAAATATTGTACATTAATTCATCATTAATGATATTTTAATATAAATACTGTACATAAATAAGCACTTAATTGTTAATCAAAGTGAATATATTGCACGTTTGTATACATTATTAAATTAGTTATTATACAATAAAGTTTCCATAGAAATGTTATTATATAATAGTTATTCATAGCACAATTAAGTTAATCTATTCAAAATTAAAGTTATATCAGTCCATAATTAAGTAAATTCAGTTCACACTTAAGTTTATTTGATGTAAACAATATTTTATTTAAAATTACTTTTAATTAAGTGATGGCATTAATAAGTAATAGAATTTTTTTATGAACAAAACTCAAAGTGGTTCATAACATAAACCATTTTTTAACAACAATTGCAGTTTTGGTTTTGAAGTTTACTTCATAAGAAGCAATACTTCATACCTTCGAAGGTTCATACCATTGGATATGCACTTTAATCATAAACTCTTTTCTCGATGTCTAATATACACTCAAACGTAACACTTTTTATCTATTGATGGACATGTTAGGATTTGAAATTAACTAATATTTTCTATATATTACATTCAAACACATATTACACAATACATGTTAATTCATACACAAGTAATATACAGTAAAAAGATGTCATAAAAATAATGGTTTGAAAAGTATCTGAAAGTCTTTGAGTCACTATTGGCTAATAGTGAACAACTGTTTGTGAACTTGTTCACACGTTTGGACCGTACTATTGGCTACTTTTGGCTATTTTTTGGGAACTTTTTGTAAGAGATTGTGAACTGAAACTCAAATTGAGTTCACTCTCAGGTTAGCGCACAAACAGATTGGTTGACAATTTTTTATGTATTAACTGTCGATTATATATGAGACTAAATATTCTGTCTCTTGTACTCACTCCTAATTTTTATTTTAAATAAAATCATTTTAAAATATCAAACGCATAATTAATTAATCTACACGACAACCAGTGCAACCCGCACTCCATATCAAAATATGAACCTAACAGACAGGTATACTATAAGTGGAAAAATATTAACGCCGTTTCACTCGATTGTTGGATAAGATAGTGATTGTGATATGAAAGTCGAGAAACTTAACGATAGGACATCCCATTGGCGTAAACACGCGTTCATTGATGTCAAGCATAACCGACTGCACGACCAGTTTATGGCATACTTTCCCGAAACCGAGTTCATTGAGTTCGTGTCCAACATCGGGGGACTGGTAGGCATGTGTTTAGGCTTATCTGTCATTGGCTTTTACGGCGTGTTTTACCATCTCTTTAAACGCAAACCTTTGGCGCCAAATGAGAGGGTCGCCCGAAATCAGGTCCCAATGTTTTACTACTTTAGTGGGCAATGTTTCATGTCATCTCTGGACATAATAACAAGTAGAAGGGATAACTAAGTCTATCATAATACGGTTAACCCTAATGAAAACCTACTGTACTGTACTGTACTATAGTTGGAAAAGTTTTGTATTTATTTATACTGTATTACAAAAGAGTATTTATTTTATTCAATAACTAAACATTGATTTTCAATGACCTTATGGTGAGAATTGAAAGTCAATTAAAATTTTGAATAATATTTGCTATTATGAAGGACTCGGATAACCCTTTTGTCGCATAAAATAATTTTATTTAGTATTTATTTATTTGCGGATTTAAATAAAAAATTATTCTTTGATAAACTAGTTTAAAATTAAATAATATCGTAGTAACTTTAATATAAGTATTATTATAAAATATGATAATAAATTTAAGTTTTTGTTTCAATAACTTAGTTTATTAATCAGTGAAAGGTAATAAATGATGATAATAATGATAATAAATTGTTATTCAAAATAACTATAAACCAATCTTGATTAAATTAAAATAGACTACATTATTATATCCACATAATTATTATATTTATTAATAATTTAATTAATTAATTCAAAAAATTTATATAAAATTTATAAAAAAACATTATCCAATAATTTTAATTTAACAAATTTAAGAAATTTTATTCAATCTTTTGGTATTTATCTTTAAAATATTCTGCAAAAAACATAAAATCGTTTTGTTGAGTAATGAGCCTTAGTGTGGAACCCAATGTGGGATCAGTTTTGAGACAATTCTTATGAATAGACCATAAGTTATATTCCGATAATACTTGTGAACACTCGGGTC